CCGCGGGACACGGTCAGCGAGATGTTTTTCAAGACGGGTGTGTCGTTCTTTCCCCACGTAAAAGTACCGTTGTCGATGATAATCGCAATATTGTCCGCCTAGGATGTTAGAGTTGAAGAGAAAAACGAAAAACGAGGCGGTAGGTACCGATGCGGTGGCTGGAACAGGGCGAGTGGGCTGATCTGCTTGAGTTAAGAAGGACTGAATGCGCCCAAGGGACACTCTGGCTTCCACGACAGCTGTAATGTTGTCTGGGATTTCACGCATGGGTTCTTGGAGCAGTCGGAAAAGTGCCAAGGACGTAAAGACTTTGGACGCAGTCAGAGGTAGCCCCAGCACGACGGTGAACGTCGCGAAAGACGCCATCGAGACAAACAACGGAGCGGCCCACAGGTAGAAGATCGAAATCGCTCCGCTGAACATGAGCGTCCAAATATGGCCCATCTCTGACAAGGAGTTCCGTCAATACTATGCCACACGCATCATGTCTTACCGATGTCACGGAGGGCTTGAATTTTGTCGCGGCATTTCTGCTCCCACGCGTGAAGTTTCACGATCAGGATCGACCCAAACGTCTCTTTGACCGCTTGCATGCGCTCATCGCGGGCGGTCGACACCTCGTCGAAAGCACGGGATTGAATGGTCGAGACGTAGCCGCCCAAGATGAGACTGAGTACGAGCATGCCGAGTCCAGCAAAGGAGGCCACACCCAATTCTTCGTACAACAAGTACGCAACGACGATGATCTGGGTCGGCAAGATCCAGAGGTTGTTGAGCGAGACGCTCGCCCAGAGCAAGCTGTCCATGTCGGCCGAGTACACGTTGGCCAAATCCGGTACTTCTTCCGGCTGCACGGTGGCCTTGGATACGAGTCGCTGGAAAAGCGCGCCTTTCAATGCACCCACAAAACTACGGCAACGATACATATCATCAACGACTCGGTGCGGCGAAGTCGTACCGAATGCCCAGCACGTCTTCAAGCATCACCATGTGTGACCACAAGATGGAGCGGCTAACTTTGGCAGCCAACAGAAGGGCTAGCCATCGGTAAATGACTGTTGTGTCGCCGCCACCCGTCGATTCAACAATCTTTTGCAAGACGATCGGTCCCACCAAATCCAACAAGCGCAAGAGGAGCCCCAACAGACCCGCCAACGCAAACCACGCACCATACACGTCAACGCACGCACGATCGACAGATTTGGAACGCTCAAATGCGGCACGGAATCGCTTCGTGTTTGTTTCCGCCGTGTTGACGTCCTCCAACAGCCAAATGTCGTCGATGTTGAGTACATGCTCCAAGTGGACGAGCGGCGTGCACCAAGTCAAGAAGATTTGGGAAAACCACGAGGCAGCTCGGCGTGGATGGACGGCCGGGGTCGTTGCGCCAAACGTAGCGTACGTAGGCTTACTGGCCTTGAGCATGGCAAAAGCGATTTTGGCGGTCGGTCTCTTCAAGATCGGATGGCGGCAAATTGCCACGACGAAGAAGGAATGACGGTTAGTAGAGTGCTGGTGCGTTCACCTTCCATCGGAACGTTCCTGGAAACCGGCTTTGGAACAAACACTCACGTTGGTCTCGTCGGCAAAAGGTTCGATGCATGACATGGTCGAAGGGTGAAGGCGCCTCTGAATGCCACCATTTCTGGCAGAAAGAGGGACAGACTCGCAGATCGGCATGGCGCCAAGTCCAGGCCGCCTTCATCCTTTGTGTTCTTGAATGCTATGGTGACAATGGCGAGGGTCACGCACGGGCTGTGACACAAACCCTCGCTTCACATGACACAACGCCATGGAGTCGCACCGAACAACGTCGATATGCAAGTTCATTCCGACGGTCAACACTCGAGGCTGTTTCTAGCGTCCATGCACAAACACTGTGCCATCGGCGATCGTTGGGAGTGAAGGATGTCTAGACGCATGGAGTCGTCGCCGAAGAACGGGTTCGTAGCGACCATGGGATTATTCGTGTGATTGTGTAATGTCCATGTTGGAAGAGGAGAGTGGAGTGGAACCCCCCAGTTGTGCGGCCAATGGGCACACACAGGCCGAGCGAGGCCACAGCACCATCGCGATTGTGCAAATGCCGATCGCGACGACCAGAATTCGGTTTGAATTACTTGAGCTTTTTCGAGTGATCTGGACTGACGTGGGCGGCTGGAAGGGACGCGTACACAACGGACAAGCACGCCATGGTACAGCAGAAGTACCCCACGGCTTGGAAACTGTATTCATGCAGAAGTAGAGTGCCCAGTGTTGGTGCAATCAATCCGCATCCGCTGCGACTTGCGTGACTGAGCCCGATGGCCGTTGCACGATTGTTTGGATTTGCGCGTTTCGACATTTCGGACGACAGAACGGTGTACGCAATGGCGGACGCTCCACTGAGCAGCACGGTGAGTGCCATGAGTGACCACCATCCACTTGGACCAAACCCCAGATTCGCGTACACGGCAAAACTTAGAGCGATTGCGCTCGACGCTCCCAAGAACACTGTTCTTTCGGACCACTGCACCAAGAACATCTGCAAGAGGACGCCGTTGGACACGATCGTGACTACACCGCTGACAGACATAATTAGACCGACGCCTTGGGGGTCTAGCAGCTGCGGTTGGCCAAGTGCATATCAGAGGAATGACGTACCGAGGGATAGATATTGACGAAGAACTTCCGAGAACGTGCTGCGGTGAATGGAAAGGGCCAGCCCAACCAGCACTTGAATCGTCAGGGAGTTCAACACCTCGGGCTGTCGAACAACTTCGACGATCTTGAACACGTCAATGGCGGTCGCCCGTGGTTTCGTGGAGGAATCGGCGGCAGACAGGGTAGTCGTCCTACTCATGCCCTGGAACACGAGCCAGTTGACGGGAAGTACCGCTATGGAGAGAACAGCTGCCAGTGCCGCAGTGTGCTTTGTCGAGAATGCGACGGACACGATTCCACCGACGTACGAGCCGAGGACCATCCCTATGCCGTAGCTAAGACTTAAACGCCCCATCGCAGTAGCACGCATGTTGTCTGGCGCGAGCACAGTCGTCGCGGCTTGAGCGGCGTGCATGGCATGCATAAACACAGTGGGAAGTTGACTCAGGAACAGCGTTGAGACGGAGAAAGAGGCTGCCAAGAGGGCATAGGATAGCGACGCGGCGGCTTGGGACGCGCTTAGAGTCACGGAAAACCCAAAGGTATCGCAAATGCGACCGGCCAGCGGACCGCCGAGCAGCTGGAGGAACGAGCAAAACGTTTGAAACCTCGAGAACAGGAGCTTGTCCGCACTGAGCTCGTGCAGCAAAAACGGAAGGACGGGCTGCGTGAGCCAGAACGAAAACGCGTACACGACGATGTTGCCGTGGATGACCACGAGCGAAGTTGTCTGCGATGACCAAGTTGGCATCCGACCAGTGCAAATTTCGTTGTGAGCGGTTCCTGATTCGATCCACAAACATTCTATGACCAACATCCTGGATGCCCCGTGCTGTCTGTCGTCAGCTGGGCTGGCAAACGAAGCCGCTGGCATGTGGCAGCGCATCATGGACATGCCAGTGCCTTGAATGGCCATGGCAGTCACTCCACCTGGTCAAAATTGACGGCAGGCACCTGCAGTGCAGTTTGAATGCCCCATTCTGGAGGAACTGCTGGGTGAAGTGGTCTGGAGTACCATCAATAGAAGAGCCTCAAAACATCAGCGAAATACACACATAAGTTATGGTGGCACCGTCTTGGTAGCCGATTAAGGGGCGAGGACACCGCCGTCCTTGGCGAGTCGATAGAATACGCCTTCTGCCGCGATGAGCGCCGCCGGCGTGTCCATCTCGACGACCCGACCAGCATCCATCACCATGATCCGGTCCGAATGCATGATCGTGTGCAGCCGATGCGCGATTGTGAGCACGGTCGCCTCGGCAAACTCGGTCGCAATCACCTCCTGCAAACGCACGTCCGTGTCGTGGTCCATCGCAGCCGTCGCTTCGTCCAGCACCACGATCTTCGACTGCACCAGCAACGCCCGCGCCAGGCACAGCATCTGCCGCTCGCCCACGCTCAAGTTGGCCCCCTTGTCTGCCACCTCCGTGCTCAGCTTGTCCGGCATGTCGCTCACAAGCGCGAGCAGCCCTGCCTTCGACACCACCGACCACAACGCAGCGTCGTCGTACGACCCGAACGGATCCAAGTACTGCCGGAGGGTCCCCTTGAAGAGGACAGGCGACTGGGGAATGATCGAGAGCTGCCGCCGCAGGTCTTGCTTGGCCACCGTCGCAATGTCTCGGCCGTCGATGTGGATCGACCCAGACACCAACGGGTACATGCGGAAGAGAACCATGGTGAGACTCGACTTGCCGGCGCCCGTGCGGCCGACGATCCCAATCTTTTCACCGCCCGCAATGTTGCACGTGAGGTCTTGCAGGACAGGTTGCCCTGACGGTTTGTACCGGAACTGAACTTGCTTGAACGAAATGGAGCCTTTCGTGATGGCCAGAGCGGTGGAGGTGCCTTGCGGTCTCATGGCTTCCTCGGCGGGCAAATTGCAGTACTCCAACACCCGTTCCGGACCGACCATGTTGATTTCGAGCCACGAAAAGTTGGACACAAGATAGCCAATGTTGGCGTCCGCCATGAGAATGTAGTTGAACGCCAGGCCGACCATGCCGGCGGACAAGACCGACCGGAATAGCACGAGGCCCGTCGCTACGATCATGACGATGGCCGTGCCCTGGAGCTGGATGCACAGTTCGAACCACGCGTTGACGCTGCACCGAGCAAACCGCACGCGGTGGTTTGAATTCACGTGGTGGGCGTGTCGACTCACGGCGCGTTCGATGTACGTGGCGCCGTACACACGGACGAGCATGAAGCCTACTGGAAACCTCAAGTACAGGGACGGCGATTGGCATAAGTCGCACCATGCTCGATCTCGTCGAGGAAGCTCAGGACGGGAGAATTCGTCACGTTCCACAGACGCGTGAGCTCGCGAGACGGTCGCAAGTACAGCTGGGCCACTCGAACGTAGACATAAATAAGGGGCAGAAAGAGAATGCCAAACCACCGCACCTGCAAGTTGACCAGTCAGCCACCCCACGATCCATCGAATGCAATCGTGCACACGTACCACAAACATGGCCGTGAGGAGCGACGACGCCACCGAGAAGAACCACCCAGTGACACCAGCGTAGCTGAACGGGAGCCAAATGTCGATCAGCGACATGTCTTCGGCGAACCGGTTGACAACGCGACCGATCGGAGTCTCGTCAAAGAACGACATGGACGTGCCCAGCAGCGTCGTCATTAAGTTTTCAAACATGACCCGCGACGCACGGACGCCCGACACCGCGACGAGAATCGTGCGACATAGCACCGCCACCATCATCCCGAGGCACAGCGCCGTGTACATGCCCAAGTACCACTGAGAGTACACGACCGCGTCGTCGCTGGACGTCCACACGCCGAGCCAGACATCCGATCCGACTTGCAACACCTGTGTCGCTGTTTGGAACGCAAAGAGGAGTCCGATCGTGCGCCACCCACCAAACGCAGCAATGTACGATGCGTACACATCGAGCCCGACTCGTCCGATCGCTCGCTCTTCTTCGCCCAACTGCTCGGATATTGCATGGTCAAAGTGCTCTGTCCACTTGTCTCCAGCCTCCATTGTCCGCGGGGACCACAACGGACTCGGCAGAGACCCCACGACTGGCTTGGCGACGCACGGAACCTTGATGATGTCGATTTTGGCCGCCATTGGGGCGGATGGCTTTATGTGAGAATGCTCCATCGATCCGTCTTCGAGCTTGACCAGTCGATTGACGCTGGGTGACCCGATGATGTCGCCATTGTGGGTCACCAAAATCACCGTCTTGGACTTGAGTAGCGTTTCCACGCACTTGGACATGATCTCCTTCTGCACGACCGCGTCGATCGCAGCCAGCGGCGCGTCCAGAATCACAATGTCCGCGTCACTGTAGCACGCTCGGGCCAAACTGATGCGCGCCTTTTGCCCCCCCGACAAGTTGCGGCCCTTCGACCCCACCTCGGTCAGGTCCCCGAACGCCATCAGCGCAAAGTCCGGCAACAAACCGCACGCCTCGACCACCCGCATATACTTGCGCGAGTCAAAGGGCGACCCAAACAGGATGTTGTCGCGGACACTCATTTGCTGAATCCACGGCTCCTGCGAGCAGTACGCAATGGATCCGTAGACGCCGGTCGTGCCCTTGGTCTGGTGCATCTCGCCAAGGATCGCATTGCACAAGCTCGACTTGCCGCTCCCGACCTTTCCATGGACGACGACGAGGTCGCCGCGGGACACGGTCAACGAGATATTCTTGAGCGTGGGAGCCATGCTGTCCGCAGCATCCCACGTAAACGTTCCGTTTTCAATCACCACCATTGTTGGGCCATCCTACAAGGGATTCCCGTCCGTTTGAATCAGGGCAAGAATGGGGTTAAGCCAACTCACATGCTGCTTGGGGGGAGTGGGGCGTATGGGCTTTTCGGGCTGGTGCAAGTACGACTTGATGCGGTGCAGCGATACCTGGGCCTGCAGGACGGACGTGACGTGCATGGGCAAGTCCGAGAGAGGGATCTGAAGGAGGCGAAACAGCGCCATGGACGTGAAGACTTTCGACGCGGTCAACGGCTGTCCCAGCACTAGTGTGTACGCGGCAAACGATGCCGTCGATACGAACAGTGGCCCTGCCCAGAAGCTAAAGATGCTCGACGCGGCGATCACCATAAACGTCCAGATACGTGCCAGCTCTACCAACCGTCATGTCACTCGTGAGATGGCAATTCGCCGTTGACCTTACCTTTGGCGCGGCGCTGTTGCATTTTTTCGCGGCAGCGGGCTTCCCACGCATGCAGTTTGACGACGAGGATCGATCCAAACGTTTCTTTGACCACCTGCATACGATTGTCACGTGCGGTCGCGACATCGCGGTACGCATTGGACTGCCGTCGCGACACGATTGCTGAAAAGCCCATCACGAGCGCGATCACGCCCATGCCTGCAAAGGATGCGGCGCCGATTTCGCGGTATAGCATCGTGGACGCAATCGCAATTTGAATTGGCATGATCCAGAGGTTGTGAAACGCTTTGCAGCCGAGGACAAGGGCATCCATGTCGGACGAGTAGGCGTTGGCGAGCTCCACAACGCCGGGGGCGCGGTGGTTGCCTTTGGACAATAGTTTTCGGAATAACAATCCTTTGAGCGCCCCGACAAAGCTACAGGAGCAACAAGTGAGTGGGGCATGACGTGTTAACGCTTGAATCTGCGTACCGAATGCCTATGGTTTCCTCCACTAGAATGGTGTGCGACGCCAGAAATGCCTTGGCAAGTTTTGCCCCAAGCAAAACGACCAACCACTGGTACAAATGGGCCATGTCGCCGGTGGAGGCAACGACTTGGCCGAGTACCATCGGCCCGACCAATTCGAGGAGCCGCGTCGACGCGGTCCAGATGCCTGTGACAGCGAACGAATCCCCATACACCTGCAATGCTGACCACACGACCGAGTGAGTCTTGTCAAAGACCGCGGCGAATCGATCTGTGTTGAATTCGCATGTGTTGACGTCTTCCAGACTCCAGATGTCGTCCATCTGAAGCTGGTGTGTTCGTCGCACGAGCGGCATGCACCACGACAGGAACAGCTTTGACACCATAGACGCACTGACGGCAGGATGGCGCTGCAGCACACGCAGGCCGAACGTGGCATACTTGTGCGGCTCGCCCTTGAGCTTCTCTTGCAACTTCTCGGACGGAGCCATACACCAGTCGCTGGCGGGTCGCAAAATGGGCGACGAGTGGAAAGGCGGTGGGATGGCGGCTTGTATTTTGTCCTTGCCATCTGATTGGTCCACGACCGGCTACCGCCGTTATGATTGGACAATTCTGAAACCGCTGATTGGCCACCTCAGCACCACAAAAAGGTGATTTATATGGCGCTAAACCGATTCTTTCCTCAAAGCTTTTACAATGTAAGGGAGTCGACTGTGATGTGCTGCCGCATTGTGGAGCGCAACAACCTCCTCGACATTGTTCAGGAATGAGGTGTTGAGCTGGTCGAGACAACGCTTCGTGTGGATAATGGAGCCACCCGCAAAAAAGCTCGGTGGAACGAAGGCATGCCACCTTAGGGATGCTTGGTTGAACAAGGTGGGTACACTGTAACTGCTTTGGAGGATCGGGAAGTGAAATTTGCCCCAGCTATTCATGTCATGTGAGGGCGGCTGCGACGTGGATACAGCACCCCCCACATCGTAGAGTCATATGTGCCACATCGCGTGTTTGGCGTGCCAATTGGCCCAGCGTCCATCATACACACAAAAACAAGCACCGACGGATTGAGACAACGCACTTGTTACAAGTCGCCGCTGTTCAGCGGGACCATCTATGGACGATCCCCTTGGGAGTTCGTGACGCTGGATCGACAAAACCACCAACACAGTCGAACTCATTAGAAGGTGTGTGGTCATTTTCCTCGTAATTTCACAACGTGGAACTCTCGGGGTGGAAAATGCTCGAAACTGAAATAGGCACTAAACCGATTGGCTTTTGTCTGGACCTCATGCCACTACGGCCGCATCGGGTTCACTGACAACGAGCTGCGACAGTTGGGCAACCGACTCCTTGCCGGCGCGAGGCTGCATGTTCTCCACCGCGCAGCCTCGACGCCGTCACGGCTCGAGTGCTGTTCTGACGACGTGGTGTCAGGACGAGATTTCGGGTTGCTAGGCCTAATCGGCGAGCGGCAAAAAGTGCGATGTAGGCGCTGCCAATCAATACCACCTACCGACAAAAAGCCGGAAAGGCGACGATATGCAGCCGCTACTGCGATGTGCTTTCGCTTGCGTTGGCTGTGGAGTGTGCATGGCGCAACGCGACGAGGACATAGATCCCAGGGTGTGCGGTGGTGTGCAAGGCGCAGCCTCGCAGTGTAGTAGCTGGACACTCCAACCTGTGCCCCTTTGCTCCATGGCGCTGGATTGATCAAGGATAGGAGTTGGAGAACATGAAGATTCCGTGAGAGGGCGTGCTGCTACGAGCGATTTCTGCACTCCACGCACTCGTGTATTGTAGTTGATGTGGATGTGTTCGACCCTCCGACGACGTTTGGTCGCTTGTTCGGAGGGATTCGGATAAACTTGCGGTTATCCGTACAAACAGCCTTCAACCATTGCAATTTCGAGGACTGTTCAAACCGACCATCATTGGGCTGCGCCGCGGCGGACAAATTACGCGCCGACTCCTCCACACGGCGGGACCATTTGTCCATTCCTTAACATCCCGCACGATGCAAACTTCGTCATCTCTGATTGCTCATGCACAACATCACCCCGGCACTGAAGCCGTCACGTTGCAGTTCACATTGAAAGGGATCGACAGGCAACTTGTGCGACGGGTCGACGAAGAGCTCAGTCGTGTCCTTGTCCGCATCGAACGGCTTGTGAACCCGATTGAGAAAAAACGAGGCTTTAAGTCCTCGACGAAGACGCCGAAACCTTCGACCATGGCACTCATGAAAGCAGCCGCCGTGATTCAATTCAAAACGGGGAATCATGCCGTCCTTCCCCCAACGCTGCCCGTCCTCGATGCGCTTTATGCGGCAGCGTACTTTTGCATCAACGAAGTTACGTACCATATCATCCACAATGAGCCCCGTGTCAACGCGATTGCGACCGTCGACAAGCACTTCAACGGTATCTCAATCCGACCCTCAATTGACTTGATCTTTTGCACTCCAGACGAATGTACGTGGACCTGGCATCGTGGTGACGTCCTCGTTGGTTCCAGTTTTGTTTATACACCGACATCTGACGATGTCGGCCACGCTCTGACCATTGCATGCACGCCGCCGCCGTCTCCAGATGCATCTCCCACTCGAGTACCGATCGAACCCGTTGTTGTGCACACGTCAGTCGTGCAGGCATGTCCCGACCGGTCTGTCTTCGGTCCGCGACAGATTTTGGGTCGCGTGCCTCCATCCAACGACGGTCTTCGTCTCATGACGTACAATATCCTGTACTCCAAATATGCCCGCGCCGACCGCGAATTCAATCGCATGTATCCGTTCGCGGCACCCGGGGTGCTTCAAGAAGCCTATCGCATGCCGCTGGTCGCGCTCGAGCTTTTGGAATCACGTCCGGACGTCGTGTGCCTCCAAGAGATGGGGGAAACCATTTGCAGATCGTACTTTGAACCATTGCTGGCGCATCATGGGTACAAAGGCGTGTACGCTGGCAAAGCCGGGTCGACTCCCGAAGGATGTGCGATTTTTGCTCGAAACGATACCTTTGAAGCAGTTGAGACGGAGGTGGTGGCATTTAGTGCAGCCATCGATTCGCTTCCTAGAGACTCCGCCATCACCGCCTTCCTCCACTGCCACCCCCAAGTTGATGCTGCCATTCGTCAAGTGCCGTCTGTCGGCCAGATTGTGACCCTACTCGACAAGCGGCATGGACACGTCGTCCTGGTGGCCAACACCCACATGTTCTATCGGGCAGACGCCAACATTGTTCGGCTGGTGCAAGCAGCGCTGTTCACGGCCGCGATTGAAGCCACGGTCGCTCGGTTGAGCGACAATGGAGCCACCAAAGTCCGTGTCGTCGTGGCTGGAGATCTGAACGCCCGACCTATGACGTCGTCTATCCAGTTTTTGCTGAACGGTCACGTCGGATGTGACCACGACGATTGGCAGCAGGCGCGTGCATTTCGATGGACTGACCGAGACATCGACGACAGCGGACGTCCGTCCGAGGGAACGATGGACGTGCCGACGCAGTTTTCGCACATCCTAAAGCTGCGTCGCGCCGTCGAGACTGAATTCACGACTTACCTGAGGAACCACGAGTTCACGTTCCAGGACACGTTGGACTACATATTGGTCGACCCGACCTCGTTCCGCGTCGTGCAGCAATTCCCCCTCTTCACGCTCGAACAAGTCGACTCGGAGAAGTCCCTGCCCTCGACGGTGTTTCCGTCGGACCACGTGTCCATCGTCTGCGACGTCGAGTACACATAGCGGCGGTTGCATCACCAGAGCATAGACCTCGAACAGCCATCGTTCAGTCGAACGGTTAGATCGAGAAATGAAAGGTCTTGGCGCACTTCGATCGCGCTCTTCGGGCCTTGGCACCCCATCGTCGTTCCCAGCCCACCGTTCAGCTTTAAGATGACCTGCCACGCATGAGTTCTCGGTGAATACATCTGAATCTAGAAGATGCAGACGAAAACGCACGAGCTTATCCAGCAATTCGTGTTTGAGGCTGGCATCGTTTGGGCACGCC